GAGAGTTATATATAAGGAATACAGGCAAAGAAGTAAAATTGTTCGCAGGCGCTTTATAAGCATTCAGTGCAATACCCGAATAGTTATGACACAAAGAACGCATTTGGATGATTTTTTACGTGGTAGAAGTATCGTCCGTCTGGAATGTGGGCGTACCCAACTGGAAGTATCAGACGAACTTGGAATTGCTCAGAGTGTCATCTACAGGCTTTGGCAACGATTCCAAGATGATGGTAATATGAGTAGACGTTACAGCACAGGTCGCCCCAGAGTTACAACGCCGAATGAGGACCGGTATTTGGCAGTTACTGCCAAAAGAAACAGGCGGAGCACAGCCTCAGACCTCTCTCGTCAGCTCTCTTCAGCCACTGGTACGACAATTTCAAGGCAGACCGTGTACAGACACTTAGGGCAGATTGGTCTATATGCTCGTAGACCTGTCAGATACGTCCACTTACTGCAACTCACTGTCGCCTGCGGTTAGCCTGGAGTAGAGAGCATGCATTGTGGACACCGCAACAGTGGGCTTGTGTGATGTTTTCCGACGAGTCCAGGTTTAGCTTGCGGTCTGAGTCTCGTCGGACTTTCATATGGATAGCTCCAGGTACCCGTTACCACCAATAAAACATCATTGAACGACACCGTTACGGTGGTGCAGGAGTGCTCGTTTAGGGTGGGAATTATTCTGGGTTTCAGAACTGACCTGCATGTTCAGATTGGAACCATGACAAGCCAAATATATCGGGACGTCATTCTGGAACAATTTGTACGTTTGTTTTGGGGCGGCATGGGTGCACAATTTGTGTTTATGGATGACAATGCCCGTCCTCACCGTGCAAACATCGTAAGCGAATGCCTTCAGTAGGAGGATATCACCCGTATAGACTGGCCAGCATTCTCACCGGACTTGAATCCAGTAGAGCACGTGTGGGACGTGCTTGGCCGATGAGTTGCAGCCCGTCAACCTCCTCCTACATGTCTACCGGAACTTCGGAGAGCATTGCTTTTTGAGTGGTGTAATATCCCCCAAGATCAGATCGATAATTTGATACTCAGCATGCCTAGGCGTTGTACGGACTGTATTGCATCGTCTGGGAGACATACAATGTATTAACAATCGTACCAACCATGTAATATTGGTTTTTTGTAAATAGGTTTCTTGTAATTTGCTCCAGGGAGAGAAAATCGCGGATTTTTTTAATAATATCAAACATATAGCATCTTTTTTTGCTCTTTACCTTTTGTTTAATAAATAAGCTTTACAAATAAGTCAAATTTGTTTTGCTTCTAACTCTTCCTTTGCCTGATTTTGCATTATTCTTAATTTATGGACATGAGTGTAAATATTGCCATCATCAAGGAAACGTTTTCAGGCTCATAAATTAATGCACGAATACACGTATTTTCTGATACATAGGAACAATCTGAGGGAATTTCAAGGTCATCGAATTCAGTGATTATAATTTGAATCCAGACAGTAATTTATACAGTCGTCCCCGCTATAGAATACGTCCGGAAAGAAATACGTCCAAAAATTATATTACATTGATTTTGATTCATATCGTGCGAAAGTTCTATTAAAATATTTGACATAATCCAACACGTTTGTGAATTTTTGCACACCTTATTAATTTTCACATATTTTGATTATTAAGTATTTTATTCAGAAATTCCTTTGGTGCATCAGATATTTAGGATACTAGAAATCTCAAAATATTTATTTATTGCTTTTGATATAATTCTTCTAAAAAATGCTTATGAAATGCTTTACTAAGCTCTTCAGCATTAAGTAGTATCATTGTTCCATGCCCATCACCGTGTTATGACTATACGTATAGAATACATTTAAGAAGCAAACAATACTGCTACTTTTCGTGATAAACAGTCTCATAAGGGACAAATTAAGATTGGTTATTAAATCTGAAGCTTGTCACTTGAAACTATTCGTTATCTCTATTAATTTTTTTCTTTAGTCTATACATTTAACTAATTAAAATGTAATAAATTCTTTAGTAACGGGAATTTGTGCTATATTTAGACAATATAAAAGTTATATTTCATTTTTCTTCAGAACTTTTCAGTTCACAGCGTTGAAGCTGTTTTCATAAAATTCTTTATTTTATTTTAAGAAACCTTACTATTAGATGCACGTACATATCTAAAATCTATATCTGAGGAAATAAAATCTTTAGCATCTTTTTGAAACTTTTTGCACAAATGTGAAGAACTGTTGACATTTTATGTGACGAAAAACAGAAAAAAATATAATTAATATGAATACTCTACTATTTGCATATATTATTACTTTCATTGCAAAAAGAAGTCTGTGAAAGGCTACTCAGTAATTCTAAAGCAATACTGCACAGTAATTTGCTTATATTTCTTGGAGATACAAGAAAATTCCTTGTATTTCCTTGAAACTAATAATTTTTTATACTTAAATTTATTCTCCAGTTTTTATTGAAAATTAATCATTTCTTACATCTAATTTATCATCACCTTTTTCAAACATTACATAAATTAAGAATTTCAAAATTTTTTAGCTTCAGAATAAAGCTTTAAATATTCTAAACGAAGCGTATTAATTGAAAAATTATCAAATACTTTATAAACATCTCTCATTTTAAATGAAAGATTTGTGAGCCTGTATCTGCATCTTAGGCAAATACAATTTTACAGCCCTTACAATATTTTATGCTCAAGGTTTACCAAAGATTTTAAGTAAAATACCATCATATTTTATGATTAGAAGGTGCTCTGATTTACGACCCAACTCGTCAAAGTATCAAATATGCATACAGCTTTTATGTTTAACATTTCGACCGTAAATTAGATAGTTCTAGATAGTGTTAGCAGAATAAGTTATAAGAAGTTTTAGAAGGTTGTCTTGCTTTGTTTAATCGAAAAGTTTGTGAAGCTTCTAACATGACACACGAAGCTGATTATTCGTAAGAGCTTCATGGAAATGATTTTAAAAGACCGATGATAGGGTAAAAGATAATAAAAGCGTGCTTTTATTACCAGATTAGTAAAGCAGTTTGTAATAAATAAAACTGCTTCTTAGAACGGACTTTTCTTTATGTACTTTTAAATATTTCTCTACCATTTGGTATGAAACCTTACATTAATTACATTTTCCATGACTACAAATGGAGTATAAAAAAAAAGCATCAAAAGTTACAGCATTTAACTGAGTAAATATATTACAGTTCGTATTTAGATCGTAAATCCATGTTCACATCTTAAAGCACTATCATGATCACTGCTTACTGTGAAAGGTGATAAATTTTGATTGTTTATTTTGTTCTAAATTTCTGTTTTATGAAATTTCTATAATATGAATTCCTATTCTCTATTCTAGATGATCCGATTGATATTCCTGTCAGCATCCATCTTTAAAAGTCTCTAAGAGAACATTGTAACCTCATTTCTGTTCTTGCTAACAAACGAACTTGGGTTAGTTCTCTTCAGTAACGTTATATCCAGGTTATAGCCGCCCAGACGGTATAGTGGTTAGGGCAGCTTACTTCGGTGCCGAAGGGACTGGGTTCGAATCCCGGAGAAGGCATGGATATATGTAAATGCATAGTGTCCTTGCGGCATGGGGCAAACTAAATATATGGTGAGCCGAAAGTCCTCTCGTATGGTTGGTGATAGGGTAGAGGGGTCGGAGGCTCTCGGGCTAGCCCACGGGACGCCTTCTCTTGAAAGTGGAGTGGAAGTAGAAGTCCAACCTTCTTGATGCTCTGACAGCCATTCTTCCATAAAATGAAAGCACAAGACAACAACGACATATACAGGGTATCACACAAAACGTAGATATTAGACGTGTATTCGGCAGGTTAAGAGGATAAATATGTGGTACGTTGCTTCTTTCAGGATATTTATGACTTCTAAGATCCAAATGAAGGATTATCTTGGCTTATTTAATTATGCCAAAGCACTGTAGGGCTATTTGCGTAAGGAGACGGATGCTTTCGTGAACAACATTCTAAGGGAAACTAACTTGTATTCACGTTACACATATAAAAATCCACGAACACGTGCATACAGTCAGCCCGTTCTCCTGGAATCGAACCTGGGCTGAACTATCAGCGTAGACAACTCTACGGTTTGTGATGTAGTCGAGCGTCTATAAATTATGCAAGGTTTATTAAAATCATAGACCATTGATGACATGTTTAAATATGTCTGGCATTATCCTTATTTCAGTGGAAATTAATTGAATGCGTAAAATTAATTCCTCGGCGATGCGGAAAATCTCGTTCGTACACAGTTGATTTCATATGGCCGCATAAAATGAAATCAGTGGATATCTTGTCTGGGGTCTAGATAGAACATTACTGAGAGTAAGTCGTGAGATTTGGTCTTCATTTGGTCGAATGAAAATGACAGACATGGGAGTTTGAAAAAGCGTATGTCCTGAATGAAGTTATGCATAAAAATAATGTCAACTTGATTTTGTTTCTTCAAATTGCTTGAATATATCATTCAACGTTGTCGCTCGTTTATGCGAATCATATACTTAAACATGGTAATCATTGCTTTTGTATAACTTTATTCTTCCCGGTTAACACTGAAAAATTAAAATAAGAATACTATTTTAGAATGAAGCGTCTTCAGAAATTAAACTATTGCCCTGGACTGCAGAAAGAAGAATTCCCGGAATTTGAGTTTCTACACATGAGAATGAACGCTTTAAGATTCTAGAGTAATGATTATAATAATAGACACATTTGCGTCCTACAGTCTGCTATTACTGATTTGTAATCGTATTCGTATTTTGAAGATAAAGAAAATCTTCTCAACTGCATTTCTAAGAAACCTACAGAATTCTATTTTAAAACTGAAATTAAATATACATTTAAAAGTAAATTTATTCTATTACTAAATTATTTAATATCAGATGTCTACTAGGAGGACAAGTATACTTCATTGTTGTGCCCTTTGAAATGTGACAAACATAATACCATGCAAATACGAAATTATTAATGTCTTACCCTAAAGACTTTGTCCGCATGTTCGGTAGCAGTATCTTCGTTTACCATGGGTTCTGTATACTTTCCCAACATGAGATAAACAGAGGAAATGATCTCTCTCATTTCTTCCCTGGTGATTCGACCATCGCCGTTTATATCGTACAGTTTAAAAGTCCACTTTAACTTATCCACCGTAGGACCTCTCGTCATCATAGACAAACCGGTCAGGAACTCCTGTAAAACAAAGCAGAAATAAAAATATTAAATACTGCTTGATGGTTTATTGATAACTTCGCATGTGGCTAAACGTTTAATGCTTTAATCCGTGTTCTATTTTTCAATGACTATGATGTTAGCCGAAACAATTTCGCTGGAACCGATGTCCCGACTAGCTACGCGGGACATAAATTTTCTGCCTCTTATAAATATAAGGAAAATATAAATAAATGCATAAATTTAACTATATATATTTTTACTAAGGTTCCACTCAAACATTTATTTTGCATTAACACCTAATTAACATACTGCGAAACTGGTAGGCGGTAAGGAAATTTTACTACCTACAAAATAGGCGGTAAGTATGAAAAGGTAACCTATCTTGATCTACCGTTAAACGATCTGCGCATGGGCAGCTGACTGAAAATTTTTTCTGTTTTACGCTGTTAAGTGTTTAATATGATTACTACATTCAGTCTTTCATAAATGGCGGAACGAAAAGCACAAGTGTAGAGATAGCTAGCTATCAGCTGGAGTCCTACATATATGGCAGAGTATTATGTCGACTGTGATAATTAATATGTTTGACGCATTATTGACATCAGTTGGTGAACTGTGGTCACCAGAATGTATCTGTTTAAAATGAATTTCGGGTGTGGTTCTAGTATATGTTATTTATTAAAGTAAATTGTTTACAAAAGTGCATGGGATAAAATAATAAATATAAATTTATATGAAATTATTCCTGTATGTTTATTGATCTACATAAAGTTTATTTATATATATCAATGAATAACAACCCTGATTTTGACCAAGGCGTTATTTTGATTTTTTTAGTTTTAAAAGATGGTAGTTTTTACACAGTAATGCTCTTATATCTACAGATATTATACTTCAGAACCGAACAGTGAAAAATACATTGTTTTTCAGAACCGAACAGAGAAAAATACAGTGTTTTTCAGAACCGAACAGTGGAAAATACAGTATTTTTCAGAACTCCGTGAAATATTTAAAAGTACCCCAGTAAATAAATTAAGTATCTTTTATTACATTGAAATAAAGACAAAATCATTAAGTGTTTTTCAACATTTTTCAACAGATGCCCATATCTTCATTTTTCACGTATCTTCGTTCATAGTTGCTAATTTTGTTTGAGATACTCTCACACAGGGCTTCTACTCGTAGTTTTATGGGAAATTTTCACTAATGTACTCTGGTGTGAGAACACAGAATGCTCACAGTGAACACGATGGCATTATCGATTCATGAATCGTTATCTCGCCCTACCACGTGCGTCGCAGTGAATAAAAACTGGAAGAACTGGTTTTGTCTTTCTCTTTCTGCCTGTCGTCGTGTTAACGAGTGTGTGGGCCTTCGGGCCACACACACAGCTCTCGCCATCGTCCACTGTAAAACATCATGTAATCGAGCTGATATTCCTTTGCATAAGATGGATGAGAAAACATGTTCTTGTACAAAGAAAGCTGCATAAATGAATATAAGAACTCAGGCAAACTTTACTGGTTATGCTGCGAGGAAAAAAATTGTTCCTGTGCTGTGATTCAACGTGTATAATCTTGATAACTGGAATTTTCGAAGTGACGACCATGTGCGCCAAATTCAAGCACATCTACAAGAAATCTTCTCTTTTCTCTCGCGAATAAGTGCACCGCCTATTAATTAAGCTTCTTGCAAGATGCTGATAAGTAGTGTGTCATCGATGCTTTAGGATTAGGAATTACAGTATACAGTAAAAAATGAACGCTGTGAGAGTCCCGTAGGACTAACGAGTAGGACATGCTGAAAAGCATTCATGAATATTGTTCTTTTGTAACGTATATAATCTAGGCTAATCAAGAAAAGTTTGTTTTGTGATTTAATAAATGTATATTTGAAAGAGAACTACTGACTCATGCATGCCTTATTGGGTAAGTCATTTTATTCTTCTTATTAAAGATCATGCAATGTACTAACCACTAAATTTTAGTTTAACTATTTACGCGGAATTAATTCGCATTTGATACTCTTAGTATCGTTACTCTTTTACGATCACGGTCAACAACACCATATCTGGCAAACAGGTTTATTAGATTACGGCAAAGCACTTGAGGGCTATCTGCCTTAAGGGAGGGATGCCTTCGTGGAGGACTTTTTAAGGGAAACTGGCTCGTATACACGTTACACATGGGGAAAACCACGAAAACACCATGCAGCCAGCCCCTCCGCGGGATTCGAACCTCGGACCGAACTACCAGTGTTCAGCGACGTTACCGCTCAGTCGCTGGTGGGCCACTCTGGCAAACGGTGTTAGTGATAGTGAGACAAATAACATTCTCGTTGAAAGAGATAATCATCGCTGTTTCCATTCCACTATGGCGTCAGCTGCCTTTCCAGTATAGATAAGTAACTCCTTCCATTATTATTATCATTAAAGATGAATTTTGTACGAGTAAAGTTAGGCGCACTTACAGTTTGAGACACACATAAAATAAAAACTTAAAAAGTTTTCTGTTATTTTAGTTTAATAAAATCTGACATCATTCGCATAATATGTTCAATATGAATTTTTTAATATGTTTTACAGTCTTATGAATAACTCTTTTAATGCGGTATGTTTTATCATAGAAGAAAGGGTAATAAGTTTATTAGATTAAATTACGCAGACACCTAATTTATTATCATTAAATTAAGTACTAATAAAGTGTTGTAGTGTTTTACTGTCTCTCTCGAACTTAATGCAACTAGTGGATAAATGCGAATGAATTTTAGTTTGATTCACAGACGATAGAGAATGAAAAACATTGCCTCTATAATATCGTCATGCATAGTTTTAAGGATTACATGACAATCAAAAGTGATTCTTTTGCATCAGATTGCTGCATTAACAATGAAACATCGATCAAAATTGCTCATGAGCATTTGTGATCATGGTCAGAATGATCTTGAGTATCATTGTATGTGTTTCAAACTATTACACTTGTTCTTTCTGTTCTGCTTCTTTAGTTTATAAAAATATTATTATAAAATAAATTATTTATATTTACATGCAAAGCCTTTTACGAATACCTAGTTCCGTACTTCTATGTACATTCACTAAGAAATTATATAGCTTTGTTTTTTAACATTATTTTCCTGTAAATACTTAATTTCTGTTTATGAAAGTGTTATCTAAATAATATTTATTTATTTAATGATTAAACAATTTTTTTATATTTAACATGCATAATTATGTTTTATAGGTTTTAATGTTTAGGTGCATTTTTGTCATTTGATAGACTTCGATTTCTTCGCTTTGTTGCTATTATTGTTAGATTTAACTTTCATTTACATGACTTTTTATCCTCTAAAAAGCTTATATCCTCTCTTTTAAATATATTAGAAGGTATTTCTCCCGCCTTCATGATGTAGTGGTCAGCACACTCAGCGCGTAATTGAAAGGTCCGCGGATCGATTCCCGGCGAAGCCGTTGCTAATTTTTCATCTTTCCTACTTTAAAAATACCTAATGTAGCGTAAGAAATAAACGGTTGTTGAATGATGATTCTCCTCACCCATAATTTGGCGATTGGGTTCCCTAAAAAAACCCTAGTCGCCCTTTAAAAGGGGAAGTATATAAGGTATTTCTCCCGCCTTCTTAGAGAGCCTTCGTGGTGTAATGGTAAGTACACTCAGCGCGTAATTGAGAATTCGGCGAAGAAGTTGTTATTTTTCATCTTTTCTGCTTTAAAAATACCTAATGTCTTTACATTTTTTTCTTATCAAATAAAATCACCAAGCATAATTATGTCACGCAAATTGACTACGACAAACGTCACTGAACTTACTACGACAAAAATCAATAATCTATAGAAGCTGCCTTCGGCGAATTTTGGCACTGAAGGAAATGGAAGAAGTTTAATTTGTCTTCACGCATCCTTGCAACTAGCCGATTTCCAGAATGCAGCTTTTTGGTAAAATGGAAAGTTTTAAATTTTTAAATTTTTAATTTAATTTAAATTATTTTATTTTTTAATTAACATGATTAATCTGTCCATATCGATAACAAGCTGAGTAACTTGAAATAATACTCATTTCTTAATAATTTATATCTTTAGTGAAGAATCTAATTTATCGGCATTAAAATAAATTTAATTTAAAATACCCAAATGATAATTTTTATGTGTACTTTCGACTATATTATAAGATACTTCGAATGTCATCTGTTACAAAACTGATACAGATTCATTTGTTTTTTAACTTCTACGACGTTTTTCATATTTCTAAATCGAAACCAAATTAACATTTCGAAAATTTTAATAGTAAAGCCCTTTTTTGCGTTAACCCGAATTGCACCCTTCGAATTGCGGGAACCCATCAAATTGCAGTTTTTTCCGCGTTTACCCATTCCGGTGTTATACGGTGAAATACCAGAGCTATTTTGTATTATAGCAGAATAGCGTAAACCTTGTATTTAATATAATACGGAGCTAAATTTTAAACTTTTTAACTAAACGACCCACTTATATACATTATATTTATGGTTTACTGTCACCAACATGCATGTAGTTTTCCTGAAGAAAGGATAAAAAAATGCCCGGAAGGTATATTTTGTCGTTGTTGTGACTTGTCTGAGAAGTCTGGCTGAAACTTGTCTGACAGTAATATCAGAGTAAGCCCACAAAATTCATCGTGGCAAGGGGTGCAGGATAGCGCTTGTCTTTGGCAACAGCTTCTCTCTTTAAGTGACGAAGTCACGCTGGCAGGTTCCTGAGATTACTTCCCGACCCTGTGTATAGCAACGTAAGGTGATGTGCATAACGTTTTCTTTCGCACAGCATAAGTCCAAAATACAGTGAAAGTCTGTAATAAGATGTTGCAGATTGAAGAAGTAGCTATTATAGCAAGATCTCGTGAAGCAATTATAGCATTAATTAATAGTACGTGAAGAAGCAATTTAGCGCTGAATAATTTGTAGAATTAGCAATTTTGCCATTAAATAAGGCATAACTTGGTCTTGAATCATTAGAGGTGTAGCTGCAT